TTTTTTCTGCTTACATGGAACCTGCGCCTTTAAAACATGTATGGTTAACATGAACACCTGGATTTTTTTGGGGGGGCTAAGTAATTCTGCTGAAGAGTATGTGCACTAAAACCACGTTTCCTACTAGCTGCCTACCACGCTTCGCCTTAGCAAGTGCTGCCGGCCACTCACAACTCATATTCCGCACACACCAAACCCGCTCCCCACACCCCGCCGCTCACATCCCCCAGCTTCACGTCACACAAGACTACATATCCCTTCCACGCCTCATCAAACACCGGCAGCCCCCCACTTGCTCTACCCTGTCGAAACGCTCCGCGCATGCCTCGTCTCCTAGCCTACAACAAGCACACCGCACAGTTCTCTTTTCCATGCTCTCAATGGAAACTCACCATATCTGCGGCACACTGCCCATGTCACCGTGCATGTCCGGCTCCCTTCCCCTTTCATGGGCAACGCCCTTCTTACCACCGTGGACCTAGCAACCCTCCCGCCCCCCGAGACCGGCCTGCTCCACCGAATACATTCCATCAAGCGCACATGCCCCCCCCGTCCAAACGGCTACGGTCTCCTCCCTTGCTTGCGCACGACCGTGGCACACAGCTCACCGAGCTTCGCAGGCGCTGCCGCGCGTTTGCACGCTTGCTTCAAAAAACTTCCTCACCCTGGTAAAATGGGTTCGCAACTTTTTGAGCATGTCTGGCAACCCAAAAAAGCTCCTTCCGGGGCCTTTACAAAATCTAGGAAAACTAAGAGCATTCCGAAGGACATGCTCCAAAAGCCTTTGAAAATCCTACACATCCCTCGGAAAACGTGACTACCTCTAGGAAACACCAAGGGCACTGGCAGGCACCCGGCCGCGACCAGCCCGGGATTCCTGCCACTCCTTCGCGCAACCCTACACCTGCGAGGGCTACTTCCAGGTACCATCCTTTCCGCTACATTTTCCCTCGGGGGTCGGCGGCTGCAGGCGGTAACCTGGTAAATATAAACAAATTTGCGATCAAGTCTCGGACATCAAGCTCTCATCCAACCCCAAGTCGCCTTGCCAACTGTGGCCGGGGGGTCCAATCCACATGCACAGTTTGCTGAAAAGCGACCTTCGGAAGACGATTTTCCTCTACAACCCAATGCATGTTAATCTTCTAGGGCGTATTGTTTGTTGATTGTTGCTGGTGGCAGTGGTGGCGTTGCTTCTGAAGCAGCCATCAGAAATCATCCACTGATCACACAAGCTTCCTGCGGTATGCTCCATCACTTTGAGGAAGTTTTGAAGAGCAATTTAAACCTCAAGTTTGAAGCACGACTTGAAAACAACATGTCAAAGTGTGCTCGTTTTCGCCACTCGGTACAAAGGCGCCTTGATAGGACTCGGGTCGGAGGTATGATTCGATCTTCACACCCTTGTGGATGTCGTTGAAGAACTTCGAAGCCTAAGTCAACCACAGAGTTTGCTGGGCAATTTTTGAGCCATACCCCACATCATATCAAAAATCAATCACACATGGACACAAATCATCAAACATCCACTGGAAGGCGTCCAAGCACATCCAAGCCACGTCCTTCCCCGCCCAGGCCACGATGGTGGTGGGACCCCCAGGGTGACGGTCCATGAACTCCTGGGGCGCTGCTACGAAGAGTGGGAAGCTGCTACGGTGGAGAGTTGACGCTTCATTCCGCCACGCTGTGTCTTTCCCGTGAACGAACAGCACTGCACGGAGACTGACACAGAATCGAAAGACAAACACGTCTAAAGACTTCATGGAGTCAAACTTGTATGTACCAAGGTGGAGCGTTTGGCCAAGCTACGGCGAAATATATCTGTGACCTGGAAATGAACGCAAGTCTTGGCATGGGTCAACACGGTAGAGTGCAAACATAAGTCCATGGCCCATGGCTTTGAACCCCTTGGACTTTCTAGTGGTGATCCATCTGGGGATATCTGGCCCCCACATGTTACACTCCTCCATGGCTGTGAAAGAACTGCTTAGCAACTTCGTCTCTGATTTTAGTTGTGGAGATGACAGGCCATAAGGTCGTTGGAAGGCAACAGCCTTCTAATCACCACGATGGATTGCTACCTTGACATCTACCGCAGTTCCTCACAGGGTGACATATTGCAAGGGATAATCCCTTTTTGGGTGTGTTCTTCTTTTATACTGTAATTCAGGCCGGCGGATCTTTAGATACCAAACAAAGAATCTCAAAAGAATCACATGAGGCCGACGCCATGACAAAAATCATGTTGTCTGCTTTGTGGGAGCCCCTGCAAGGTGGGCCAGGTGGGCGAACGAACCAGGGCCGGCCCTTGTAGGCTGTGGGAATCGTTCCCATGTGCCTACTAGGAGAATCTATTTCGCTTTTCATCAGTCACTACATGTCACTTACCAACCGCGACACAAAAATTCGACCGAAAATAGAAAAAGAAACATCTCACTTACCAACCTCGAAAACGAACAAATCATCACATCAAGTCCAAAGAGTTTTGCAGAACAACAATCTGCCAAGGCTCTGAGAGATCGTAGACTTTCCCATTCAGTGCCACCTTGGTTTGGAGACGCTTGCACTGTGGTCTGGTCTACAGATGGAAACTGCATGCGACCTCTGGAAGCCTGAAGACGTCAGGTGGAACGAACCCCCGAATTACCGCTCAATCATGAATCATGCTAACACTTGGAATTGGAGATGCTGTCAACCTCAAAAAGGATGCATTCAAGACGATGCGATGATATGACTTTCTCCTAGCAACTGCCGGATAATTTAGACAACACCACCATGCAGAATCACTTCACACTTGTCCTGTGTTGGATGAATTCCAGATATTCCAGAACAGTCGCCTTCTACAATCGTTGTATTTGGTCTGCGTGTATGTATGTGTCTGCATGTGTGCGTGGACAGGAGAACCTAGCTGACAGGTGTCCAAAAAGTGTCACCTGCACTCCTGCTGCAAAGTCTACGGATGCAACTGATCTGCTGGAAACCTCCAAAGCAAGGCATCATGTTGTTGACATCCAAGGCCCCATACCGCCCTTTGCATGAGATCTTTCTGACGGAGCCCCAATGAACAAAACCTCTGCTTCACCCTAAATGGCACGCCAAGAACCAATGTACGAATAGCAATGGACCAGGGGGATTTGGTCTGGTGGGGGGCCCGGCCTCTTCAGGAAGAATCTCCACATAAAGACCCCAATTCATTGCTTCTCATTACATTACATTTATGTAAAAGCAAGGAAACTTCGGTTAATCTCCGTTATAATAACCTGAAGCTACCTCTTGTGATGAATTCAGGGGTCCCCCCACTTCTCAAAGAACATCCAAGAGACCCAGCAATCCTCGGGGATGCAGTGGCGGTTCACTTCACTCAAGGGGATGTTGCCTCGGCGCCCCTCCGCTCGGGTCTGGAAACTCCATGCGCTTAGTGGTTTGAGAGTCGCACGCTACCGGACCACCCAGGTCCAACATTCACTTGGACATTTGCTTTGTTTGTAAATGGTAGTAGAATGTATAGTAGGTCCAACCAGGTCCAGTTTACACGCCAATGAGCATTAGAGCATGACTGGTAGCATACTCATGGCCGCCAGCCGCAGCAAGTCGGGATCACCAAACGCCTACATCATGGTCTTCAAGCGGCTTAGAGACTGATGACTCGACTGCACGCATGCTGGAGCGGGTCAGCACATCTGTATTTGGCTGTCGTCCGCGCAAGTTAAAAACAAGAAGCTGGTAGAAAGAAGGTTGAAACAGTGCTTTCCTTTCAAGTGATTTCTGTATGCATGCCCCACTGTTGCCCTTTGATCATCCAGCACTGCAAGATAGTTGAAAAGGGCCATGGAGGCCCCCGACCTTTATTCGGGGAAAGCACCAAGCTGCTTGGCAGGCAAAATCCACCTTTACACCTCCCACCTACCCTCTCGCAGGTGCATGTTGGTTTCGTTTCCGCACCTCTCGCCCTAAGCGTCTCCGCACCTCTCGCCCTAAGCGCCAAGCCCGCCGCCCCAAGGCGAGAGGCGAGAGATGGCCATGGATGGAGCCTTCTTGAGAAGTCCAACCTCCCTCTCAGGCATGGGCGCTGGATGGCACGAGTACTTGTGGCCCTCGTGCATCATCTTGATGTGCACCTGAAATGAAGCAGGGAGCGGAGAAGAGGATCATGGTAGCCTGACATCTTCCAACGACCTGACTATCTTCCCCTCCATCTCTTGGACAAAAGCCCTCACAAGCTGACCATCCCCCATCAGCGGCCTCCAGTTCCCTCTTCTCTGGGAAGGCTTCGGTACAATAACCACAGCCCAAGAAGGCCTCGGACCTCAAACAGAAAAAGTTGCAAAATGGCAAGACCATTCCGTTGACATACTTTGGGATTGGGATGTCAGGTCAAAGGGCGTGTACATGAACTCATGTCAATTAAAAACACTTAAACTTAAACTATTATTACCTGAGATAAACTTAGTGGTGTTTCCCTGGAAGCCTTGTAAACATGGCAAGGAACACACACATATATACTTATATATTACAGTATTTATAAATAACTTCTACATCTGAACCGTCTTCACATCCTATATCAAGCATGAGACAAAAACACAGCAGCACTGCAGCACCCACTTCTCTCGGCGGTGCTTGTTCTTCATCGGCGAGCGGCTCGCGGCTGGCAGGATGTTCATCGGACATCACCACGTCGGCCATGACGGTTATCGACACAAAGCGACTGAGGGAGCGTGCGGTGCAAGAAGCTACTGAGTACTGTGTGGCTGCGGGCGGGTCTGGCGACTGGGTTGGTCGAACTTATAATAATAGCTTTATAAATAGCTTATATGCAATGGCCAATGACAGTGCAGCTTTTGGTGGATACAGCAATAAACAACAATGTGCCGCATGGAATGATTCCAATATATAAATGTGCCGCACTCCAGCACCTCAAATCCAAGAACTTCACCTCCCTCGGCACTCCCCTTGGAGACCTCCCCTTGCTCATCTCCAAAACCTCACCAGGTATCAAGCGGTGCTCTGGGGCGCCACGCACGTCTGCCCTGTGGCGCTCGTGGCCCCGGCCTCGGGGATTCGCAACCAGGGGCACATCGACCAAACCAAGGGTCTGCCGAGAAAAATGCCGTGAAGAGAACGTAAAACATCAATGACTTTTCATAGAATTACAATGAATTACATGACATCAGGAACCCACAAATGAGTCGACTCCTTAGTGGTGCTGCGCGCTCTTTCACGGGGAAGGTCATCCAGTCGGAAACTCAGTGTCCCAGCACCTAACTGTCATTCCAAGCGCCCTACGAGGCCATGAGCAGTGCGCCATTCCATGAGGGGCATCCCTCAACCCAAGTCCTATTGAGGATGGAACCATGATGGCAACTGACTGCCCATGATTCAAAAGTACTGGAGATGGTGAACATTGGCAACTGAATGGAGTTTGTTTCCACAAGACATGTGGAAATAGGAACATTGCATATGCCATCGAATCATATGCCCATGCCATACAACTTGTACATTGTGCCCTCCCTGCATGAACTTTGAAGCATGATTCATGATGATAGCATCAGCATGGGTGGGTGAATACACCCTTTGCATACCCTTGCCAAGGTCTCTGATGCACAATATGCGTCTGTATGAGCCTGTGATACTGCCCGTGATTTGTGGATCACTCAAGTTCTGGGTCAAGCGTATAATTTCCGTACGGATTGTCCCTCTCGTGTCTTTTTGTTGCGGTCATCTTATTGTTTACGGCATTTGATTGCATCCACAGGAGAATCTGAAGTCTTATATCACTCCAATATCACTTGATTGCATCCAATATCAAGTGATATCATTCTCCAATATCACTTGATTGCATCCACAGGAGTCCTGGTCTTTTATTGTTGCCTTCTCAAGTGATATCATTCGCTCTCAAGTCCAACCTCCGACCGCTCCAGTCTGTGCACTTCTGGGAGCCTTCGTTCGCAGCTCTGGATGGCAATTGCCGTGCTTCTTTGTGTTCCCAAGTGTTGCAAGCCTTTCAAGTTCTAGTGAAGTGTTCCAGCTACCAACATCTACAAATATGCTTGGTCACTAGTCCCCCCCGAAAAAAAAGGGGCTCAGCGAGGTCGGGCAAGTCATCCTCGTCGTTTGTTGTGATCTTTCCCCCTCTGGGTGACCAGTTTTGGGAAGCTTTTTAAAGAGCATTCCTCTCCTTTCCAAAAAGGCACGCCACTGGACCGGACGTCGTCCTCGGCAGGAGCGGTGGAAAGTGCACCGGAGGTTTGAAGACACTCAGGTTGGATCCCAGTTACAATGTACAAAGCCAAATGTAAAGGCCTTGAGGTATCCCATGTCATAAGTGAATTGGCAACCAGGGATCTCAGAAGTCTATTGAGAGTAATTATATGACATCGTCCGCAAGAGCCATGTTCTTAAATGAGGTCGAGCTGCGAATGCCAAAACCCAACTGTAGATGCACCGTAGCTTTCTTCAAACACTTGAGTTTCACGTGAGTAGGCAGTAAGCAAAAATGATGAGCAAGCGACACATCGTAGCATTCAATCATCACGAAACGACCGGCGTTTCGGAAAAGGTCCCTTTTTGTCCAATCCCTCGTTGGTGCAGCACGCCAAAGGGAGATGCAGTCCAAATGGGACACACCAAAGAAAGAAAACAACATTTGCTTTGTTGTTTAACATTGATGTAGTCATCAGAATCCATCCATGGTCGCTACAGAAATCAGAATGGACCTCTTTGAACCTGAATTCGGCTTCAGCCAATTACAAATTCAAGCCGTGCCCGCTGTGCCATGAGCAGTAGCAGCAACCAAGACTCCAGTTACTAGTGGACACCCTGTTGAGTTTGGTCGGATTCAAGACCTGTACAAGCCGTCCAGAAACGAGCACGGCAAATGTAAGGTCTCTTGGTCAATTCTCCTGGCCCGCCTCCAACATTTCTAGAATACTATTTATGGAGGTTTGATCGGCACAACAATAACGCTATATTGTAGTTCCTGATTCTTCAGCATCCATGACAGAAGTGGCTTTGGGCTCGGGCAAGTGCTTTCTGCACAGCAGCCATGGCATGCTGCAAAAAACTCATGAAATTGATTGAGCCAAGCATGCCTTCTCCCAGGTCATGGCTGGAGGAAGCAGCTGTTGAGCTGCCAGCTGTTGGTTCGAAGGCATCCTTGAGCTGACAGTGGAGAGGAAAAAAACATGTTTCAGCATCTCAGCATCATCATCGTGATTCATCGCTGCCCTGGGCAATGCTGGTCCCACTGCTAAGCAGTGCTGGTCGCTGGACATCTAAATGAGGGTGCTGATTTCTCAATTTCTGGGCGCATTGGGTTTTGCTGAGCATTTTCTAGGGTCAGGGTGGCAACACATCGTCCAAAATGGAGATTTGATGAGATTTTGTCCGGGAGGATGCCAACAATAATCGATTGAAAGACTTCCACCCGGATACCTGGTGCCCTGATGGAACCAGTCGAGCTCCACGCAGGTCGCCTCAACGACATGGCGCTTGGCCAGTCCGATGCAGCACGCATGGACCTGGGACATGGCGGTACAGAGGGGTAAAGGTGAAAACCAATAACTAACATAACACTTTAAAGATTTAACACAAACACTCTCACAACACACACAAAAAAACAAAAGGCTCATGTGTGTTTTGGTCCTTGGTCTCCCAGTCCAAAGATGGGATTTTTTAATGTAACTGTTCATGCAGGGGTTTCACCTGACCTTGATTGGGCATGTTCCTCACCCAACACTTCAAAACCTTTCCCTTCACTCGGACACAAACAGCTTTTCTTTTTCTGCTGATGTGCTTCGGTCTTGGGTGACCGTCTTGAGCTCATTGAGCTCGCTTGCTCAAAAGGGCTGCAGCGTTCGACATGCCGCATGAAGTGTCTTCTGTCAACACCCCCCCTGCCTTTCTCAAAGGCAGTTCAAAAGCTATGCACTGCTGTGTTCACCCTGCACGAGTACTCCAGGCCGAAGCCCTTCTTCCAGCGTGTGCAGGGTGCCAGCTCAAGTGCCGAAAAACTTCAACTTTCGACTCAAGCCCTTCTCTGCGGCAGATTGTCGTGCTGCCAGGTGCATTTCCAGTTTGGCTAACATCAGCCATCAAGCAGCAAACAATGTCCCAACATTGAACAACGTTTGTTGTAAGGCCGCTCGAGGCCCAATGCAGCAAAACCATTCCATAGGTCCTGAGACCTTCATTCCACAAAACTTCACAGCAGCAGCCGGCATGGCCTAGAAACAGGAAAACATACAGCCCATTGTATCCCACCCGCTCCAGCCATAGTTGTAGGCCACTCCAGTTATGAGCCGTATGGCCCAAAAGGTCAAAATGACCATAGAGGCATCCAGGATCACCCAGTGCCCCTCTTCCTCATCAACACTTCACAAATTCCATCCCCTTGCACGCAGCTCTTGCAAGCAGTGGATGCAGGGGTCATACTTCTTCTCAGAGCCGGTGGCGCAGGATGGAGGTCGAGCCGAGTTGGCGTGATATGGATCGCCCCAGCCTTTCGACCAAATCGTCTCACCACGGCGGATTCTGGCCATGTCTTCTTGGAAGCCACATTGATGGCAGGGAGGTGACTCTCGCAGCACTGAAGACGACAAGGTTGGGCAAGTGCTGAAGGCATGATACTTTTGGCCAAACCTTGTGATGAAGACACCCATGCCATCAAAGCGTCGGTGCCAGGTAGCGGACCTTTTCATGTGTTGCTTCCAGTTCCTTGGTCTTCCAGAAGCGCCTTTTGACCAGCAATTCATGACCAAATGGTGGAACATCAGCAAGGTCCAAGTCGGCCATCCTTCGACGTTCACGTTCATGGACGTAATGGCAAGCTTGAGGCCCGACCATTGGCAGGGAGACCAGCCATACCAAGCACCCTTCGGATGTGGGATTTGATGGTTTGGATCGCTCTTTCTGCTCTTCCATTGGATTGAGATGACACTCCAGCGGTGGTCGTCCTGTGGATGTCCCGGGACCTGCACCATTGTGTCAGCGATCTGCCACGAAATTCTCCCCCCAAATCAGTGTGTAGGCGGGAAACGTGGTATCCCATGACACGCAGCTGGATGTACATCTGCTGGATGGTGGAGAGAACAGTCTTCTGATCCTTCGAAGCCATAGGAATGGCCAGGCGGAAGGTGATCAAGTTAGGATCTTCCCTTTCTTCGCTTTCCATCCTTTCTTCTTCGGCCTCTTTAGCTTCTTCCGGCTCCTCCATAGCTTCTTCTTCATCATCTTCCTTTTCTTCCCTTATTTCTTCACTTTCTTCAACTTCCTCTTCAAAGACCACAGCATCAGAGTCCGCTAACTCATCATCGGGAACAGGTGGATGCTGTTCTTGAGGAAGCAACCAGGTGTACGTCCCGACAAGGATGTACTTGGCCATTTCTCTTCCATCCTTCGCGATGGGGTATGGACCAGCAGTGTACAGCGAAAGTGTAGCGGCCAGTGGGTGCATCACCTTTCTGTCAGGTTTGGACTTCGCACTTTGTTCTTGGCATGTACGACAGTCTCTTTGGAAGGGAACATGTCCATTTTGACAATGTTGTTCCCAGGTCATCTTTTTCACCTTCACATGGCCTTCTTCTTTGAGGTGCGCAGCACAAGCTTCAGCAATAGCCCGACATAGGCCAGGAACCCATCGAGAAAGCGAAGACGAGGGCTTCTTTTGACCTTCACTTCGTCCTTTG